AGGGAGACCTGTCGGAGCTTCTACAAAAGTTCTCTCTGGCGGGCAACGAGCTCTCAGGAGCCACGTTGGAACTGGAAGATCTTCATTATGGAGTTAGAGAATGTGAAGGTAGTCTTATAGGAAGAGTGATGGGAGAGAAAGTAGTTAACTTCACAGGGGTTAAAAATTTCATGGCTGCAGCTTGGGGGTATCCTGGGAATATGACAGTGATGGAACTGGGACCTAATCTGTTTCAGTTCAACATCCCCAATACTAATGACAAAGAAAGAATTACTGATGGTGGCCCTTGGATGATAGATAATCAAATGTTAGTGCTGAACAAATGGGAAGAAGGAATAGAAGAGGATTATAGAGCTTTTGTGACCGCACCTCTATGGGTGCAGATCTGGAATCTACCAGTACACTGGCTTACTAAAGAGATAGGAAGAAAGATTGGGATAGTGTTCAAAGAAGTTAAAGAGGTGTTAATCCCTCAGTCTGGAGGCAAAGAGGGTAGGCATTTGAAAATATTAGCTCTAGCAGACTTGTCTAAACCTGTTCTTAGAGGAACAGTGGTTAAACTTGTAGGATCTCTCAAGTGGGTAGCCTTTAAGTATGAAAGGTGCCCTGACTTCTGCTATAGCTATGGGATAGTAGGGCACAGTGAGAGGTCCTACAAAGAGAAGAGAGTCTTAGGAGGAAGCATCTTAGAAAACCAGTATGGATCTTGGTTGAGATCCGGAAATAACCAAATTTCACCTTATGAAAAACCAGCTAGGACTGAAGTGTCTAGCGACAAAAGATATTGGAAGTTCCAGAAAGGAGAACTGGTTGAGCAAGAAAGAATCAGGACTCAACTGAGTAGATGTCTCTTGGAAACTCTTAAGTCCACTGGGCAGGAAGGAAACAGCAATCAGGACTTGATGAAAGCAATGGAGGATATTAGGATAGTGCAAGATATGGGAGCCTTAACTATTGTAGTGGAAAATAAGGAAGCTGGCCAAGGTTGTAGTGAGGGCCCCATGCACCTTGACAAGGGGAGGCTTGACCTCTCTCTAGTGATTCAGGTTGAGGAAGTGAAACAGACCCCAACTATAGTAGAAGAGATGGGGAAAGATAAAGGGGGAGATTTGCAAGCCAAGAATCAAGATCTAGGGGTAAGTGAGGGAACTGCAGGGTTAGTGATCCACCATGAGTCCTAGAGAATAGGGAAGGCTCTGGAGGCTATTGATAAGCAGACCAAGAGGACATTCAGAAGGATGAAATCCCCAACTAAAACCAGAAGACCTTTGAGAGAATTAAATGGTAATGGTGCAAGCCCTTTGAACTTTGGAAAGAGAAAGGCTCTGATAAGGGATGAAGAGATGGAGGCAGTTAACAATGAGATAGTGCAGTGGAAAAAGACCAAACCAATGGAAGGATTGTATCCTGCTGAGCTGAGGGGAGAGGAGGTAGGGCTCTTTCTTAAAGGGGCCTCCCAAGGGAAATGAGAGTTCTGGTATGGAACTGTCAAGGAGTGGGGAGTCCCTTGACAGTTCCCCATCTGAGGAAGGTGAACAATCTCTTCTCTCCAAATCTGATTTTTTTAAGTGAGACTAAAAACAGAAAACAAGTTATAGATAGAATTGCTAGAGGGCAAAGATTTGACAGTAATGTGGCAGTAGAAGCTATGAATAAGGCAGGTGGTATGGCCTTGTTTTGGACTAAGGAAACACATATCTTAGAGGTGTACAAAACAACTTTTACGATAGAAGCTAAAATAGAAGACAATGATACTCAGGTTGTCTGGTGGTTTGTTGGTGTTTATGCTAGTTGTGACCCTATGATCAAAAAGGAACAATGGAGGGTACTGAGTAATAGGAAAAGACTGTGGGGAACTAGATATATGGTAGCTAGGGACTTTAATGACATTCTTTCTAATGAAGAAAAATAGGAAGGAGTAGTCAGTGAGGAGAGAAGATTTAGGGACTTTAAAGATTTCATGGATCAGAATAGCTTAATAGATATTGGTTTTGAAGGACAACCTTGGACGTGGAGCAATCATTGGGATAATGAAGGTGAGGTCAGACAAAGGCTGGACAGGTGTCTATGCAGTTTTGAATGGTTTTAAGATTTTGAGAAGGCAAGATGTCAGCACATTGATACTTTTGCTTCTGATCACTATATGCTCTGGTTAGATACAGCCCTTGGGAAAGAAAGGAGAAAGAAGAGGTTTTACTTTGATAAGAGATGGCTTCAAAAGGAGAGGGTTCAACAGGTGGTGGAGAAAACCTGGCATAAGGAAGAACAAGGATCAAGAATGTTCAAAATCACAAAGAAGATCAGAAACTATAGAATTGAACTTTTGAAATGGAGGAAAACTTTCCAAGCTAATTCTAGAAGTAGAATTACTGATCTGAAGAAGGATCTAGAGATAGTTAGGGACTCAGTTTCTGAAAATAGAAAAGGTAAACTAGTTGACATTAAAGATCAGTTGAAAACGACTTACAAGGAGGAAGAAAATTTCTAAAGTCAAAAGGCTAGAATTAGTTGGCTAAGAGAGAGTGATAAGAATACTAAGTATTTCCACACCTATGTTAAGGGAAGGAGAGTAAACAATAGCATCAGGAATTTGCAGAGGGAAAATGGTTCTTGGACGGAGAATGAGGAAGAGGTAGTGACTAAAATGTCAGAGTTCTTTAAGGAGCTGTCTAACAGTGGGGGGGAGAAGTGATATGTCAGAAATTCTAGAAGGTATTCCACACTCCATAACTCAGGAGATGAATGATAAGCTGACTAAAGCAGTGAAGAAGGAGGAAATTCATGATGCACTATTCTCTATGCACCCTGAAAAAGCCCCAGGACAAGATGCAATGTCTCCATTGTTCTTTCAGAGGTTCTGGAGCACCATTTAAGGGTGATATTATCCTAGCAGTCAAAGCTTTCTTTAGCTTAGGTTTCATGCTTAAATCTGTAAACCATACTGTCATCTCCTTAATCCCCAAAATCTTGCACCCGACCAGTTTGAAAAACTATAGGCCTATCAGTCTTTGCAGTGTGCTTTACAAAATCATCTCTAAAATACTAGCAAATGTTTGAAATTTGTTCTAGACAAATGCATAAGAAAACCCAATCTGTTTTCATTTCGGATAGGCAGATTTTAGATAATGTGGTTTTAACTCATAAATACATGCATTACCTCAAAAACAAAAGACAAGGGAAAAAGGGTTACATGGCAATCAAGTTAGACATGGAAAAAGCCTATGATAGGGTGGAGTGGCATTTTTTGCAGGCTATGATGGAAAAAATAGGGTTTTGTTCTGCATGGATCAACTAGATCACAAGCTGCTTGAAAACTATAACCTACACATTCAACTGCAATGGAGAAATTAAAGGTTCTGTGTCATCAGGAAGGGGGATCCGCTAGGGAGATCCTTTGTCTCCTTATTTGTTCTTAATATGCTCAGAAGGATTCTCCAACTTGCTGAGGAAAGCTGAAGAAAGTAAAAGAATCAAAGGACTGAAAATCAGCAGGCAAGGACCTATTATTACTTATCTCTTTTTTGCAGATGATTCCCTCATCTTTTGTAAGGCTAACAAGCAACAGGCTACTGAAGTCATGAAAGTCCTCAAAATCTATGAAGTTGCTTCGGGACAACTGATCAACCTTGACAAATCTACAGTCTTCTTTAGTAGGAACATGCACTGTGATCAAAGGGAAGAGGTATGCCAAGCACTGGGAGGGATGGTTGAAGCAAAACAAGAGAAATATTTAGGGCTTCCAATGGTGATTTCAAGAACTAAGGATCAGATCTTTGGCTTCATAAGAGAAAACATGAAAAGAAAGCTGCAGGACTGGAAAAACAAGTTTCTTAGCTCAGCAGGAAAAGAGGTAATGCTGAAGGCAGTTTCAATGGCCATGCCAACGTATGCCATGTCATGCTTTAAGCTATCAAGGAAACTTTGCAAAGACATCAGTGCTTTGATGGCCAACTTCTGGTGGGGAGAAACAAGTGGTAGGAACAAAATGCATTGGATTTGTTAGGGAAGAATGGCACTGAAGTGGAGTGAAGGAGTACTGGGATTCAAGGATCTTGAAGCCTTCAATAAAGCACTGTTAGGAAAACAGGTATGGAGGATCCTTACCAAGCCAAACCCTCTTGTCAGTAAGGTGTTGAAAGCTAACTACTTCCCTAAGGAGTCCATTCTAAAATGCAAACCCCCAAAGAATGCCTCCTGAATTTGGCAAGGGTTAATGGGAGCAAAAAGCTTAATTGATAAGGGTCTGATCAGGAGAATTGGAAATGGAAGGAGTACAAGCATATGGGAGCATAAATGGATACCAGGAACAATCACAGGCAAGCCAACTACCAGAAGATCAAGTAACTGTGAGCTGAGGATAGTGGATGAACTAATCTGTCACAAAAGATGGAATAGGAACATCATCTTTAGGACCTTCAATAGAAATGATGCTGAGAAAATTCTAAGTATTCCTCTAAGTTTGTCAGGGAGGGAAAATAGTTATTTTTGGCAACCACATGCTGGAGGGACGTACATAGTTAGCTCAGGTTATAAAATCTTGATGGAGGAGAATCGTAGTGCAAGGAAATCGAAATCTGAGGAAGCTGGTCCAAGTTACATAGATGGGAGTCAAGAAGTGATACAAATATGGAACACACTCTGGAGATTCAACATTAAACACAAAATTAAGATCTTCATCTGGAAATGTATAAAAGGAGCATTGCCAGTAAGAGAAGCAGAGAGTAAAAAAAATAGGAATAGGTAATCCTATGTGCAGAACCTGTGGGGAGGAACAGGAAACAATAGAACATCTACTGTTAAACTGTCCTCACACAGCGGACATATGGAAGGCAGCTCCTATTCAATGGGATGGGGCAAAAGACCAGCAAGGAGATTTTAAAAGATGGTGGCTCAGAATCTCAGAAGCAAGGAAAAGACCAGAAGGGATGGAACATATTGGTCTGACTGCAAATATCTTGTGCCAGGTGTGGAAAGATAGAAAAAAAAAGAAATTTGAGAGCTCAAATAGATCCACACCAATTAGAACAGTAGAAAGAGCACAAAAAGAATGGTTGGAGCAAGTGGAAGTGGAGAAATAGAAAGGAAGGAAGAGCACAGAAGAAACAACATACATGCATGAACAACAAAGCCAGGGCAATGAAGTTGAAGGAACTATAATCATGGATGTGGCAATAGCTACACAGAAAGGACAGAACACTCTTCTTTTTCTTCTTCTCTCCCGCTTCAATATTTTCATTCTGTAGCTCAGCATCTTCAGCAGCATGTTTCTTCTTTTTCTTCTTTTCCTTCTTTCCAACCACTTCACTTTCAGGTCCAGCAACACCATCTTCTGCAGCATGAGTATCCTCTATATCAGTCCCCTTCTTCTTCTTCTTCTTTTTCTTCTCCACACCATTCATAGGAGTGTCATCACCTGCTTCTTCATCCTTCCTCTTTTCCTGCTCATTTTTCTCTTTCTCTGATGATAACTCAGTTGGTCCAAGAACAGCATCAGCCGCAGGATTGTAAGTCTGCAGACAAAAAGAAAAAAATAGTGAAAAAAAATTGCGACTTAGCAAACTAATAGAATGTAAAATATATGGCAGACCTTCCCAGGGGTTATCAGTCCCCCTGCACCCGTCTTTCGATCCTTGTCATAAACTTCAATCTTTGGTTTGCCTTTAGCAGAACCAGCAGCACGATTCAATTCTCTGCCTTCTAAACTCCTCAATCGTGCTTCAAGCTACAGAGAGAAGATGATTTAACAACAGAAGGGAGCCGAACACCTAAAACCTTAACTTAATCATAATAAAAGAATACCTTTAACCGATTCTCCAATCCCATTGTATTGTCCTGGTTATCTCCTAGAGCATCATATCTAATTGCCAATGCAGTTTTAGCGGCAAGAGATCTTGATATTTTACCAATGATTGGCATTTATTGGGATAACAAGTCATGACTCTTCGTTTCTCTATTTTGGACAGTAACTAGGTTCAAATATGTAAATTTTAACTCTTCTTTGAAATTAATATAATCTATAATTATTCTAAAAAGCAACCATATTAGCCTTTAGCTATCCATTTATTTTAGCTATTAAGGATAAATTCACCACCATTTTAATGTGTTTTTTATTTTTAGGAATCAATAACTCCGGAAGCTTTTAATCGATATATATTAAGCAAAATGACATGTTAATTAGGTTTTGTAGTGGTTCAATGCTAACTTCGTATGGACTTAAAAACTTTCATGAAGCCAATCACTTACTTTTGCTAATAAATTGGTGACTCTAGTGCCATGATGGTTTCCCTTGTACCCCTTTCATGGCCCCTGATTTTTGAGTCATATTTTCTGGATTACTTGTCCCCTCCTCTTCATCTTGCATAAAATTAATTCTTCTTGGAGGGTACGTATCTATGACATAATACTAACTGTTTCATGAGTTGACATGCGGGTTTAGATAACACGGAAAAGGGTGGCTTTGTCGCTACTGCAGCCTAACAAGGAAGAGATTTCTTACGGGATAAGTACAAAGATTATAATCTTTTATATTCACAAAGATGATTCACTACTTAGAAAATAATAAAAACACGAATGTCTACAGGCTACAAACACGTACACCCATGGTCAGTCAAGGGTAAGAAAAAAAACAAGCAACTGTTGGTGCTAAGTTGGTCCAGTCTAATAAATTGCGAAAAATAAATGTGTGCAAGTGAATTATGAGGGCCCCAAACTAGACCGATTAAATATGTTGGGGACAAAAACAACAATTTTTCGGTCAAGAAACTTCACTCTTTGTCCTTGGACAAATTATGCATTACAACCAAATGACAACTTAGGAATTGAAGGATAATTATTTACTTTGGAAAATGATACTCAAATCCTCTTTCAAGTTTATTGCATAATCATCTAAAATTTTTATTAGCATGAAAGACACAAAGAAAAAAAAAGATAACTTTTCAGTATGACAATAGGATTGGCAGAAATAATTCTTAGTCCTTTGACACAATAAAAGAGTGAGAAGGGTTTAAAGGAACTAAAAATGGTGTGAAACCCCTTAATTCCGAATGAAACAATCATAGTGGCTTTTTCTTTGAGCTGTGAGAAAGTTAGATAGGGTGAATCCTTCTCAACAGACCAAATCTCCTCTAGTTGTATTAAGAAAATAGTTTGTCATTTCAAATTATACTACTATGATAGTTTACCACAAGGTTTGTAAATTTTCACTTTCAGCTCTTGAAACATATATGAGCATAAAGTCATCCAGAATTTGAAGAGAATTTCATTTTTTCTTTGAATAAATTTTATATACACTGACGGTGTGCACTATCGTAGTTGAATATACGACACATATGTAAAATTTGAGTTTCAAATTCAAATTCGGATTATGTGTCATGCATCTAATGGTGAAACGTGTATACACTGTCAGTGTATAGAACATTATTCTTTTTTCTTTATATCTATTAAATAGAAAAATACAAACTAATTTTCTTGATTAAAAAAAAAGCAGACGGAAAAAGAAAAAAAAAAGAAAGAGAGTTGGTCAACATTCAACTATATTTTATGTAATCACAAGAAGAGGACAAGATTGAAGTTTCAAATGTTAGGACAGCCCTGAGGTCATTTTCTAGAAGATGGTAACATGATATGTTTAAAAGGAGAAAAACAAGAAAATTTAAAAAGATATAGTCTTGTAAAGACGTAATAGAAAATTCAAAGTAAAAGAATGATAGGTCTTAGCGTTGATTTTGCTACAGACTAATAATTGGAGTCTTTTTTTGCGCAAATAGTCTTCATATGGAAAATTCCATGTATGTGATCCCTTTCAATGTTTGCTTCTTGAAAAACCCACAAGTATTTGTCAAGAAAAAGCAAAGGATTTTGGTGGTACACAATTTTCTTCAAAGGTTGAAATTTGTCCAGTACAATGAACATAAGAGATTGAGGAGTTAGAAGCAATGTTTTCACTGTTTGGCTTAAGTTGACCATTTCTTATGGCAATTTCTCGTTGTCTTGAAATGCATGCATCTAATGATCTAAATCAAAAGAACTGGTTTTTGTAGAATAGGTAAAATAAAAAAAAACTCATGAGTTCAAGGGAAAAGTAGCATCCAATGTTTAAGAAAAACACATCTTCCTGGAGGCTGGAGCTTCTACAAAATGAATGCATAGAAAAGTTACCACGTAGGTCTTTGTTTTTCCTCAATCTTATGCTGAACTCCAGGAGGCTGCCTGTTTAATAATATAGGTAGCAGTATATGCCAAGTTTCCAAATTTATTTTAGATGGATTCAGTTCTTATTTAAAAGAAAAAAAAACTGGTAGTTTTATTTGCTCTATTCTGTCAAGTTAGAGTGCCAAGTATCAATTGTCACAATGAGTTTGCTAAATCTGTAGCTATGTTAAGAATTTGATCTTGGCCATTCGACATAGCATCAAACAGGATTTTTATTGAGATTTTTCTAATGAGTATATCTAATGTAGGCAACATCATTTGAATGCATACATTAAAAATTGTTATGTTCATCACATCTAAAGTGTTTTTCCATCAGTGTCTATTGGGTTTCAAAAGTTAGATAAACACTTTATATATGGATTTTTCTAATGAGTGCCCTTAGGTCAGTCATTAATACAACTAGTATTCATTTGACCTATCATATATATACACATACTAATAATTATTATCCTGTCTTGTATGTATATATTTTTCCTATTTAATCTTATCTACTTTTCCTTGTTTTTATTTATTTTCTTAATTATATATATATGTATATATATAGTCATTTGAAAAGTCAACAACTATAAGAGGAGTGATAACTTTCTCAAATTTGTCATCGTGAGTGTAAAGTCTTTTTATCTTTATCACATTTTGATTGACTACTGAGATTTTCCACTATTGCAGCCGAGTCCACGTTGGGGGGCAGGTAGTTTTCTTGCACTGTAAACCATTAGTCCAGCTAGGGACAAGTTGCCAGATATTATTCTTGTTTCTCGGCATTTAAGGTGACAACTTTTTCCACAGGTCTGTGGTCTTTGATATTATTTCGAATTTTATTTTGTCGGACGTTCCTCTTTTAAAGTCAATATTCTAAGCACACTGTTAAGACTTTTACCAAATTAAAAACGACAAATCAACATGCCTCTCTTCCTTTCCATATTTCATCAGCGCTTCTAGACTTTTGCATCATCATTGCAATCAAATAGGAATACGTTACAACAGTAAATGACACACAAATTGCAACTAGCTAGTGCAATAATTGTATATATATATATATATATATTTTAAAATTCCATACACTCTTACATATGCTCTTTTTTCCATTTGGGGTAAATACAATTTTAGTTCCTAATATTTAGCACCTTCTCGGTTTCAGTCCTTAAGATTTTAGCAAGAAGAAATTTAAAACAAATTTAACTAATTTAAAACAAATTTATCTAATTTAAAACAAATTTATGGCATTTGAAGAATTTTTTCAACTACTGATAAAATTTAGTCACGTATAGTCACGTGTCTGTTAGATTGAATTTAGAAATAAATAAACGAAATAGTGAAACCAGTCGATGCACTCAGTTTATTGAACTAGAATTCTATTTTCACTCTCTATCCCCATTGTTCCGCCAACATGAAACCCTAGCACTAATTTTTGCGTATGTTTAACAAATTTCGTTCATGTTTCTTGGTTAATTAGTTACTAACATGCCATCACATGAGTTTTTTTTTATTGTACAAATTTAGCCATTGTTTTGCTTCTTTTAAAAAAATAATTAAACAAATGCGTGACTGCACATGAGTAATTAAGTCAGTAATGGGAAAAATCCATCAATTGTTCTAAATTTGTTTGAAATTGAAAACATTAGGGACCAAATTTATTTTTACCGAGACTGTAGGGACTAAAATCGTATTAGGTGCCAAACACTAGGATCAAACTTTGTTTTGTTCAAACTTTAAGAACTAAAATCATACAAATACCAAATATTAGGGATTCAAACTACATTTCTCCCTTTCCATATACTAAGCCGCCATTTTCAAGCTCCATGTATACAACAATGTTAAACAAATTCAAATCAAATCATGTAACAAATATAAAAACAGCACAGTCACGTAATAACTCTAACCTTATCACTTTGAAGCGCCTTTTCCTCATATTATAGTCCCAACATTGACGAACTTCATGACCAATAATGCAGTCTCAGATGGGGAAAGAAAGTCAAACTGAAACCCTTTTCTACAGAGAATTTTATTCAACAATAAATAGCGTATTGACACTATAAATAGCGATCTAGATTTGAGTAATAGCTATCCACCTGACAATTTATTATGAGAACCACTAAAGTACACACATTCACACATTAGAGATATGGAGGAGTTCAAGTCTTCAAACAAGAATCACAAGGATGATGATGGTGTTGTTCTTCCAGGCTTTAGGTTTCACCCAACTGATGAAGAGCTTGTTGGATTTTATCTTCGACGAAAAGTAGAAAGAAAACCCCTCCGGATAGAACTCATAACTCAGGTTGATATCTACAAATGCGATCCATGGGACTTACCTCTGCCTAGTGAGTATAATTCTCCTCTTTTCCATAATTTCACTAATTATATAATCTTTCATGATGCATGGATTCATAACACTTTTATTGTGTCTATGATAAGTATTCAGCACCGAATAACCATAACAAGTATTAGTACGAAATGGATAGCTTTTCTTTTTTTCAAAGAAATCGATGACTATCATGTTAATCACCAAGAAAGCATAAAGCAATTTGAAGCTGCTTTTAGTACATGACTGGTTCCTGCAAACTGATACCAACAAGATCAGGGTTTATGTTGACAAGTTGCTCGGTTTATAAACTAGTAATTAGTGTTAATTACGTGTATAAGATAATTTTCAAGCCACACGAGAAAAGACGAATAGTATAGAATTAAGCAGGTTATTGTTGTGT